ATATTAACTGTCCAGAACTGAAAGTTTCAGCTGAATATGGATTTTCCTACAGGCCCAATATGAACTTTAATAATATGAATAGGAACATAACATGAATAGGATTTTTTAAAAAATCTAAAAGGTGAAAAGTAGAAAGGTAAAGGAGAGGATGCAAAAAAAAAGGGAGGAATGAAAGACTATATAACGAAGTATATCAGTATGGTCTTGAATTAAAAAGCTAATGAATTACTAAGTTCCAAACAAACTTCATCACTTTTGCATGGGCTCTAAATTGTGAAAGTTATTTTGGAACATATTTTTTTTCTTCGTTGGTAGTGAAATGCTGGAGAAGATAGTACCATTCTCCACATTTGTGGATAAAGAACAGACCTGGATCATCATAACATTTTTTAGCTTACTTTGCACTTATTGAAGTCATTTTATTATTTTGGTGGGGGGTGTATCTGAGCTCAACTGATAACCTTCTGTAAATAATAATGGCTTCTCCATTTCTGTATGATATTCTTATCCATAGTAGATCTGATGCTCAACGGGAAGGGATCCAGTCCATTCTCTAAGGTTCTGATGTTTCACATACCAATGTATTAATGTACATATCTCTGTAGCATCAAACTTGTGTTTTGGCTCTGGCACATATATAGCTGGATGTTCTTATGGCTTATAATAGCAAAGCCATATAATAAGTACCAAGACTTTTCGTAATTATATTCTGTTCCTGTCTAGTACCTTGTTGGGAATCTTATGACCTGGTGTATAAGTCTCATTTTCCATTATCAAAATCATTTGGTTTTGTTTTTTTGGCAGGGAATACTGACATGGTTTTGGTTTTCTTGACAGAGAATACTGACGTATGTTGCCGTTTCCTTCTGTAGAAGAACATATTTAGTCTGATCTCTCTTGCATTCTTTTCCCATTGTGGCAGACCCTTCTGAGAATTTACACTACCAATTGGATAGCTCAGTGTGAATAGGATATTCAGTCCTCTTTATATTGCAAGATAATACTCCATAAAGCAGGCATGTCAAACTGCCAGCCCGCGGGCTGGCTGCATCATGCCGAAACCGCGCCCACCCCTTTGCCGACAATGGGGAAAAAGTCACGATATGTCACGTGACATCGCGAGTTTGACATGCCTGCATAAAGGATCTGAAGAAGGATGATTAAAAAAAACTGGAGTGAATGATCATCCATCCATCCATCCATAACAATCCACTGCAAAATGGCAATCCTTTTATTGAAATTATGGATTATAATTTACCATGCTGGTTCAGTGAAACTTGGTAGATAGATGTTTTCTCTGGCTAAGAGAAAATAAATTGTCCCCAAGTTGGCTTCTAACCCTAAGGGAGGACAAGAACCTGGGGTTCCTCACTTCCAGGCCAGCACGACTATACCACACTAACCCTCATCCGTAGGAGACACATACACACACTAACACACAATAAAAATTTGTTATATTTTGCTGCAAATCAGGTGTTCCTTGTTTTGAAAAAAATAAATTGGTGATAGAAGATATTTTGAGGATGAACTAAGAAATAAAGTATTAGAAAAGGCTGAAAGCTGTTTTTGCACCTAAAACAAATATTTATAATGACTATCTGCTTAAAAATATCCTGTTCAATGATTCTAAGGAAATGTCTACCCTTTAATTCTTCAGGTGGGCTGTACTATTATCCACTATTTCACAATTAGTTTCAGTTCATTAAATTCTCAACAGTCGTGGAAAAAAACAGGTAGCGTAAAACCTGTGCTCTGCTATCTTGGACTATAATTGTAGTGACTTTCAACCATCAAGTTGGCAAAAGAGGATAGGATAGCCAGTCACTCTCTCTCAGCCCTTGAAAGTAGGCAATGGAAGCCACTTCTGAAAATCTTGCCAACAAAACTTCAGGGACTTATCCAAAAAGTCACCAGGAGTCTAAGGTGCACACACATAAAAACACCATAACACAAAGTACTGAGTCACTATATTGACAGCAAGTCTGAGTTAACTGAGGGTTGATTTTAATTCAGATTAAATTCACAATCTATTAAGGCTGCTCAGTTTTTGCTAGGCCACCGTGCCAGTAGACATAACATTATTCAAAAAATTGCATGGAGCAATTTTGAATTGCCAACTCAAATTCCTTGATGTCTCTGTAAAATTTGGTTTCTATACCTTCAACAGAAACATGGTGGCTGGTGATAAAAAGTTTCTCACTGAAATGTGTGTGCATTTTTTTTATATATATAGCAGAGTGTAGAGTGGCATCCACAGGGACTGAGGGTGGGGCAGAATGAAAAAAGTAGAGGTACAGCATTGTGATGCAAGCCCCGCCTCTTTTCTACATGCCCTGCAATACTGCATACATGCATAAAAGGGGTGGAACTTGCAGCATGTTGCTAGACTACAGCTTTAGTCATTCTGGCAAATAAAGCAGGCATCCTCATGATAATGTGTGTTCATATTTCTGGGGAAAAGGGTTATTTTTGAAACAATTTAGAGGCAACCATTATTCCAAATAGGTGAAATTGGTGATATTTATGTTTTATTTTAATAACATAATTATAGCTTGTCTCAATTCTAATAGCGGAAAGATTTAGCATAAGGATGTTTTTTTTTCCCCTTCTCACCATTATGTGTTCCTAAATTATCCGGCTAGTTAGACATGCTTAATTGACTCTTGCTCCCAGGTGTAAGGTAATATATTTAGACGTAGGATTTCTGGTGCTTTTCAGTCATTTTGAAATGCTGTAACATTTTATGCTCTTTCAGCAGCAGGCAGATCAAACATGTACTAACCCAACCCCACTCTTCCCTCGTTCTTCACTACAAATAATCTATGCCAGTTTTCTCAACCTTGGCAAGTTTGAGATGTGGACTTCAACTCCCAGAATTCCCCAGCCAGCAGCCAGCTGCTAGCTGGAGAATTCTGGGAGTTGAAGTCCACATCTCTTAAAGTTGCCAAGGTTGAGAAACACTGATCTATGCCATCTAAACAGTATACTATTCAGTCACTCATTAAAACCTTTTTTTCTGTCTCTTAACATAGGTGTATCACACACAACCAGTATCACTGGAAATCTGTTTTGGAATGAATACAACATATATAACTTCAAAAACCCACCGCCCATTGCTAATCAACAATCAAGGAACTGAAAAACAAAACATAGTTGTTTGTAAAGAGACTTTAAAAAGGATAATGATTATGTGCAATAGACAGAAGGAATGAAACACAGGAACAATGTGCATTTACAAAGCTATATCAAGGATCTGGGAAAGCAGAAACACATTCTACCATTTTTTGTCAACCAATAGAGGGAAAACGTTGGTTGTTATTCAGACAGTTGGGTTTCACTTAATCTTGGGCAATGATTGCCGATGCATTTCTTCCAGTGGCTAGGCATGTTGCTAGAAGGATGGTACTTCATCGCAACCTCCTTCTTCCTTCCCATTAGCCCAGGATGGGGTAACTTGAATGTAATTGCTTTTGAATATTAGATAGCTCAGATGGGCAGAAAACCACGACACCAATTTTCCATCAACTAAATCTCTATGGAGATTCTCAGTCATCCAGGTCATGGTTGTCCCAAAGTTGTCCCTTTTCAAAAGGCAACTGGATTTTTTTTTTTTTTTTGCTTATGCCTGAAGGTGTTTCGCTTCTCATCCAAGAAGCGTCTTCAGTTCACTTATAATGAAGTTGGCTGAGTTTGTCTTCATAATCATATGCTCCAATGGAGGGACCATAGGGTCAGTGGCAGAATATAGTTGTAGAAGGTCCCAGCCTTAATCCCTGAAGTCTCCAAGCAAGCTTAGAAATACTCCTACTTGACAATTTGGAAACAGCTGCTAGTCTGTGTCAGTGATACTGAGCTAGATGGCCCCATAAGTTAAATACAGTACAAGCAACTCCCCATGTCTATAACGTCAGTGCTATCTTAGAAAATGGCTGCTAATTCAGAACGCTAAAACATTCAGTCACAGGCCTTCTAGTTCTTCAGTGGAATTCTAATGGACCAGACCTAGAACTGGACATTTTTGCCAAAGAAATGAAAAGCTTTCTCAAGCCATGTTATATAAAAGAAAGGGTAGAGGCGGGCAATTTCTTCTTGCCAAATGTTGGAATAAGTGGGACAGTGATAAATCACTTCACTGGAAGAAATGGGGTTGGAATAATCCTTTTGTTACTATCTTCAGCAGGCAGGTTTTAACAAGTGTCCTTGTTTCCTTTCTATCCCACACTGGGATATTGTGACGATGAACAGTGTGTCACTGCATTTGGTTGTGAGCCTCTAAGAATCACAGGAAAAAAGGGGGGGCAGAGAGACCTGTGTTCAAGTATTTCAAACCTTAGCTTTAGGGAATTTGGTTTGAATTGGGATTTACCATTTAGCTTTTGTCAGGCTTGTATCACCTACTTTAAAAAAAACCTTCCTTCCTCCCTCCCTCCTAAATGCAGAGTAACCTTTACTTCACAGCTGGCTTCTGAATAGCAGCAAAATATTTTCTGAGCACAATAATAATGGAATTGCTATTATGGGTTGGACATGCCATCTTCTTTCGAATCATGTTTATTCCTTGCTCACTTGTTTGACCATCTCTTCTTCCTCCTTCTTCTCTTTTTTTTCTCTGAGAGGGTTGGAAACATCTATGGCTTCTTTGAATTGATGCAACAAGGAGACCCAGCATGGCTGGCACTGGCTTCAGCTGATCAGCTGGCACTGGCTTCAGCTGATTCAGACTGCAGACCCAGCTAGGTACATCTGCCAAGGAGTTACTGCAAGCTTGACAGAGACAAATGCCAGGGCCTGTCATGTACTTTTAAAACAAAACCGTTTCAACCGCTAGCCTACACATCACCTTCAACAATATAATGCAACGGTATATTGACAGGTCCTATCATGTTTTGGGTTCTGCACACAAAAGCTGTGGTTCTTTTTTCACATCAAGGACTGAGCCTTTCCTATTTCAAGCCAGCCAACTGGCAGCGAAAGGTGGCATTTCTAAACGGCTCCCTTACCGATGTGCTGAGCGCAGGTGTCACAGTACTCTGCATACAAGGACTCAAAGCAGTTGCAGCAATACGGACGCCCTTCCTTCATGATGTATCGCTGGCCGCCCAGCACAGTTTCACATTCAAAACAGCAAAAGTGCTTCATGTGCCAATGCCTTCCTTCTGCTTCTGTGCATTCGTCAGCAAAGATAATCTGTAAAAGACAAAAAGAGGACTCAGGATTTGTTCATATGTATTGAATTGAACTGGATTGAGAATTCAAATTGATTAGACACACAAGGAATTTGTCTCCGGTACAGAAGCTCTCAGTGTACATGCAAAGCATAACAACAACAACAACAACAACAACAACAACAAAGAGGGGAGTAAAGAAGATAATAAGGATAAATAATAATACCACAGCCACAGTACATGGGTAAGTATTCAAAGACATTAGGCAAGACTGTGAGAAATAAGTGTTCAGCAGAGTGAAAAAAACTGTCCCTGTGTAAAATTGTTTTGGTATAATAATAATAATAATAATAATAATAATAATAATAATAATAATGAGACCAAACTGGCCTTCAAGAAAGACCAAATGAAGAACAGAATAGAGGCATGGGAAGACAAAGCACTACATGGCCAATACATGAAAAAAATAGCTGGGAAAGCAGATAACAATAAAACCTGGCAATGGCTAAGAGCAGGAAAATTGAAGAAAGAGACCGAGGGACTAATTCTGGCTGCACAAGACCAAGCCTTAAGGACAAATGCATACAAAGTCAAAATTGAGAAGACAGCAACAGACAGTAAGTGCCGCCTATGCAAAGAAGCTGAAGAAACAGTGGACCACTTGGTAAGCTGTTGCAAGAAGATTGCACAAACTGATTACAAGCAGCGGCATGACAAAGTAGCAACAATGGTGCATTGGAAGATCTGCAAAAAATATCATTTGCCTGTAAGCAAAAACTGGTGGGATCATAAAATAGAGAAAGTCATAGAAAATGATAAAATTAAACTGCTCTGGGACTTCAGAATTCAAACAGACAAGCACCTGCAACATAACACCCCAGACTTAACAATTGTCGATAAGAAAGACAAAAAAGTCTGGATAGTGGACGTGGCAGTGCCTGGAGACAGCAGAATAGACGAGAAAGAACTGGAGAAGATAACAAAATACAAAGACCTACAAATAGAAATAGAAAGACTGTGGCAAAAGCAAGCAAGGGTAGTACCAATAGTCATAGGCTCCTTGGGTGCAATCCCAAAACAACTGGAGCACCACTTGAACACCATTGGCATTGACAAATTCGCTATTAGTCAATTGCAAAAGGCGGCCTTATTAGGAACTGCTTCCATCCTGCGACGATATCTGTAATACCATCAAACATCCACATCTGCCTATCCCAGGTCCTGGGTAAGGACTCGATAGGTAGACAAAATGCCAAATCCAGTCTGAACATCTGGCTGACTGTGCGATGATAATAATAATAATAATAATAATAATAATAATAATAGAGTTGGAAGGAACCTTGGAGGTCATCTAGTCCAACCCCCTGCTCAGGCAGGCAGGAAACCCTAGATCAGGGCTTTTCAACCAGTGGTACGGGTACCACCTGTGGTACATTGGCACCTGGCAGGTGGTACGCGACCATCCTAGAAAAGTGGTAGTGGGGGAGGGAATGAGCTGAACCTGTGGCAGCACCGCACAAGCCTGAGCGAGAGATGGCTGGAGCTGCAGGGCTGTCAGGGCTCAGTGGAAGCACCAGGATCAGCGCCATGCTCCAGCTGGAGCTCAGCGCTGATCCTGGTGCTTCTGCTGAGCCTTGAAGAAGCACCAATCAGCTGGAATGTTGCAGCATCCCCAGGGTCCTCCGATTTACATTCAGATGCTTGGCAATTGATTCATATTTATGACGGTCACAGCGTCCCAGGGTCATATGAAGTGAGCAAACCTGTGCAACCACCCAGTAGAAAGGGGGAATAAAAACCAAACACCCCCCACCCCTGCTGCCAATCCTCAACAGAAATGCTCACAACAATGAACACCTCGGACAGGAGGAAGAGCGTTGCCGGGTGGGCAGGCAGGTGTCTTGCTCAGCTGTGCCTTGGGGGTACTTTTTTCAGTGTCATTGTAACTTTGAACAGTCACTAAGTGAACTGTTGTAAGCCGAGGACTACCTGTACTTTATCACTTTTTTTCTTTTTTTTTTGGTCATTAAGTTTTTGACACCTTGCTAAGCGACTGGTGGTACTTGGATGTTGCCATGTCCTAAAAGTGGTACAATGGGTGAAAAGGTTGAAAAGCCCTGCCCTAGACCATTTCAGACAAATGGCTGTCCAGTCTCTTCTTAAAAACTTCCAGTGTTGGAGCATTCACAACTTCTGGAGGCAGGTTGTTCCACTGATTAATTGTTCTAACTGTCAGGAAATTTCTCCTTCATTCTAGGTTGCTTCTCTCCTTGATTAGTTTCCATCCATTGCTTCTTGTCAATGCCTTATAGTGCTGTCCCGTGGGGAAGAGCTGAAATGGTTTATATCCAGGAGGTGCAATGGTCTGTAGATACTTTTTCACCCTCCTTCTGAGGGTTTTCTATGGAAGGCAGGGTGTTTGCAATTATTCTTTCTGCAGTTCTAACCATCTGTTGGAGTCTGCATCTGTGCTGTTTGGTTGCTGTACCAAACCAGACAGCTATAGAAGGACAAATATCAGGCTCAATGATTCCTCTGTAAAACTATCGAATGTATTATTTGCTTCTGCAGACCTTGATCTCCTGTCATCTATTTGGCTTGTTTTTTTCACAGTTGGGCTGCCTCAAGACTCTTCTGTCTCGGCTTCTTTTTCTGCCTCTGCAGCATAAACAGATTATGTAGTTGCTATGGAAATGGCGGTGTGTGTGTGTGTGTAGTTGCTGTGGAAATGGCGGTGTGTGTGTGTATGTATGTGTGTGTGTATATATATGTAGGTGGTGGGATCTGTATTTAGGGGTTTGTAGGTGGAGTCTTGGAGTAGGTTGGTTAATTTGGTTTGGTAGTCAGATGTGTTCATAACCACCGTGGCGTTGCCCTTGTCTGCTGGTAGGATTATTATGTTGGTGTCATTGCTGCTCGAAGCACGAAGCTGAAAACACCAGCCTGAAGATGACGAATGGGACTTCGTCGAAACGTCGCCAAGACACTTCCAATTTTACGCAGGAGAAAACCTGAACAACCAAAGACCTACATACAAATACCCGCGAAAACCTCAGAAAACAAATATTGAACCTCTACGGGGAGGAAATCCACCATCTGACCAGGACCTATGAAAAACTTGAAGTCCAAAGAGCTTCCATTTTATGCGACCTCGCATTCCTACGCAACTGCCGAGATCAAAATCTAATCCCCACGTTTCCAACTGAAATTCCACTCCAACTCTGCAGCCACCAAACGGATCCTGAAAAGAACAGAATTGGCCCTAATCAGAAATGAACTTCACACAAAAAGATTCCTCCTAGACCGAATTAACAAAGATCTCCTCATACTCTACCTCAAACTCAGCAACAAGATCCACCCCGCACTTTGGGACAAATCCAAACAACTCGCCGTCTGGAGAGCCGAAACACAGACCACCCTCAAGACAGATACACACACCAACAAACTCCGAAGACTACAAGAACGCCAGAAACAAACCCCTCCTCCCTCACAGCCACACATGAAACAAACAGTGCATAACATCTCAGATAGGATCCTCACCAAAGCCGAAACCAATGTCCTTTCCAAAGGATTCAACTTTGCAGTCGCTCCCAAACACATCCCCACTGAAACCATTATATGTGGAGTTGAAACCAGCCTGACCAAAATCAACCCCGACGACGCCAACAGAATCAGACTCGAAATCACCAACATCCTCTGCACCAGCAAGCCACCCAAAAGCAACTTACCCAAAGAGGAACAGACAGCACTACGTAACCTGAAAGAAGACACCAGCATAATAATCCTACCAGCAGACAAGGGCAACGCCACGGTGGTTATGAACACATCTGACTACCAAACCAAATTAACCAACCTACTCCAAGACTCCACATACAAACCCCTAAATACAGATCCCACCACCTACCTGGAAAAAACCACCAGATCCAAAATAAAAGCCTCCCCCATTAGCGAAGAGATCCAGCAAAGAATCATTCCCAGAGAGAAATCATCCAGATGCCCCAAACTCTATGGTCTCCCCAAGATACACAAAGAAGGAACCCCACTCAGACCTATAGTCAGCTCCATAGGCTCACCTCTACAAAACCTAGCCAAATTTCTCGCCAAACAACTACAGCCCTATGCAGAATCCATCACCTCACACGTAAAAAACTCATTCCAGTTTATAGAGATCATAAAGAAACAAAACTTACAGCCCAGCGACCTACTCATGAGCTTCGATGTCATATCCCTCTTCACCCAAGTGCCTATCAAAGAAGCCTTGACAGCTATCCAAAACAAATATAACCCCCCCAAACACATCTTAGATCTGACCAACCACTGCCTATCCAACACATACTTCATCTATAATGGACAAAAATACAAACAAACAGAAGGAGCACCCATGGGATCACCCCTCTCACCTGTCATTGCCAACCTCTACATGGAACACTTTGAAACCCAAGCTCTAGAAAAATCGGATCACAAACCCAAACTCTGGCTCAGATACATAGACGACACCTTCATAATCTGGCCACATGGGAAAGAAAAACTGGACAACTTCCTCACACACCTCAACAGCCTACACCCCAAAATATAGTTCACCATGGAAACAGAACTAACAACCAACTTCCCTTCCTGGATGTCTTAGTCTACAAGAAATCCAATGGCTCCCTAGGACACACCATCTACCAGAAGAAAACACACACAAACCGCTATCTGCACGCTCTCTCACACCACCACCCAGCACAGATCAACTCTGTAGCCAAGACACTCATCTCCAGAACAAAACGCTTAGCTGACGAACAACACCTAAAAACCGAACTACACACTCTCACCAATGTACTAACATCCAATGGATTCCATAGAAATAAGATTACAAACCTAATCCAAAAAGAAACCCCCACTAAAATCCAAGACAAAGAACAAGAAAACGGCAAAGCCCTCCTCCCATACATAAAAGGCACCACAGACAGAATCAGTAAGATCCTCCATAAACACAACATCAAAACAGCATTCTGCACAAACAGAAAAATATCCACCATCCTTAGAAACCCCAAAGATAAAATTGAATTAGAAAATCAAGGAGTATACGAAATCCCATGCACCACTTGTCCCACCACATACATCGGACAAACCAACAGAAGAATAAGTGCACGCATTGAAGAACATAAGAACTCAGTCAAAAAAGAGGAACCAACATCTTCCCTGGTCCAACACCTTAAAGCCACAGGACATGAAATTGACTTTAAAAATACCAGAACCATTGCCAAAAGTGAACATTTTAATAACAGAATAATCAGAGAAGCCATCGAGATAGAAAAACGCCCACACAGCATGAACAAGCGAGATGATACCTCCCGCCTACCAGCCATTTGGAAACCCGCCCTTATTGACAAACGACTCCCTAACACAAAAAATGATACCAGACCCACACTCACAAAAACCACACAGGATGTCACCACCACACATCCACGCAAAAAACAAACCCAAAGCCACACCGATGACGAGGCACGACCACAAACCAGAAGCCAGACCACAGCTGCATCATTAGCCACTTTAAACCCCTCCAATCCATACATGAAGCAAACTGACACCCTCCATGAAGAGGAGGCACGACCACGAACGCGAAGCCAAAAAATAGCAAGGCAGCCCAAAATCTTAAACCCCTCTGCAACTCAGACTAACCTGAGCACAACCAAACAGAACACTCCCCCAGCCAATCAGAGCACAGCCAAGCCCCTAACCATTCAGAACACACCTCCACCCAATCAGAACACAGCCAAGCTCCCACCCAATCAGTTCATACCCCCACTGGCAGTTAAAAGGAATAAACAGCTAAGACCACACATTGCTGCTCAAAGCACGAAGCTGAAAACACCAGCCTGAAGATGACGAATGGGACTTCGTCGAAACGTCGCCAAGACACTTCCAATTTTACGCGGGAGAAAACCCGAACAACCAAAGACATACATACATATACATACATACATACATACACATACATACATACATACATACATATATATGGTTCAAGGATAACATTTAACTTGAAATGGCATATTCCTTGTTTAGCAAATGGAACGTAGAAAGTGGAAAACATGCTCCTGTAATAAGAGAAGACCAAGATGGACTTCCCAGGATACAAGCCCTGACTGTGGTTAGGGCTTATACATCTCCAAGGCAGGCGAGGGGGGGGACAGCAATGGGGGGGGAGAGAAGGGGGACTCAAGCATTTGCAATTGCAAGCTAATGAGGACCACTGCTGTGTGATTAATAGGGAACTGCATTTTGAAATGAGAAATTCAAGACCAAATGTCAAAGCCAGAAAGCTTTCTCTGATTGGACCTTTTGCATAGATTTAACTCTAAATTTGGCCCTTGCTAATGTCAGCACACAACTCCATATGATAAAGAACATTTTGTATTATAGGCATTTTTCTCTATCATTAAACCAGCAATGGTTATTAGTTGTGATGACTACATGTAAGCTTGTGTACCCTGACTGCTGGTTATTTAGAGTTTAGAGATATCTATTTGATCACCCAAAGAAACAAGAGGCTGCAACTTCTGGGGAAGAAATGGTGAACTGAAAGATGGCTCCGCTAAAGAAAAGACGACCATGAGGGAATGAAGAGCTGGTGACTACATGGGCTTTTTGATAATTCCTCTCTAGATAAGGAGAGGTCTTGAGGTCAACTACAAGTGCTCCAGACAGCTATTCCTTGAGAGGAGACTGCATGACTGTGGTTTCTCCCCATTTAAAACCAATGAGGGAATTGCCATCTTGCTCAAACTGCTGTTGGCACCCTTTGAAAGGACATTAAGATTGCATACCTCCTTTTCTAATCACTTTTGGAAACTGCTTGTTAACTGATTTTCAGGTAAATTAGTTAACCTTCAATCTTTAGCGAAATAAGTTTTAAATATAAGTTTAAGGATTTAAATTATTGGGGGGGGGTGTTGAGGTGGAATAAACAGCAAAACGATGATTAAAAACTCTAATCTTAAAAAGTTACAAATGGATCAAGGGGCCAGATAAATTTGAAGTAAGATTTTGTAAATAATTACAAAAAATCCTTTGTGTTGGAAAATGCTTTTGTTTTGAATTCTTTTTTTTTTAAGTACAACTTTAAACATTGTCACTGGAGGAAACTCAAAGGAATTAATGTGGATTTCTGTAAAAAAAATGATATGGATATTACACTGGACGCACTAAAGAAAGCAGCTGATGTTTTAATAATGAAAAGTGATATACAAATAACAAGAGAGTGACCTGGATAATTTTTTTATCCTGGATTTACAAAAGAGCTTTGTTAAAGCTTCAAATAATTTTTGTGAAACAGACAAAGAAAAGATGACAGATAGATCTAGGCCACACCTAGCCTTATGTTGCTCTCAGGAAAGCAGATAAAAGAGGCATGAAAACAAGACTATGATGATACACTTCCTAGGGAAAACATGGAAAATAAAGAGAAAACTAAGAGAAAGTGAACAATAGCCATCCACGCATTCCATATGTTAAGTTAGTTGACTGATTTGGGGAAAGATAATTAAAAGAACATTTGCCAAGATGTTCAGTGTAGAGATTCACAGAAAGAAAAGGCAGGCAGGCAGGCAGATAAACACAAATACTCATCCAAAACCTTAATTGTAAAACTCTAATGAGTGGTGGTAAAACCGAAGCACCCTGCAAAGATCAGCATGCACAAATAGCCTGTCCCACATTGTAACAATTGCTCTGCTTCCTATCTAAAAAGACACAGGAGGAAGCAACATTCTTGTTACTTTTAGTACCTTAAAAGAACTTCCAGCAGGCATCAAACACAAAAGTTCTATCAGCTTCTGCATCAATTCATGAATCCAATAAAGGACACAGGCTCTTTATTTTATGGGGAAAGTTTTAAATGTAGACAAGCCACACTACCCACATTTTTCTTCTCCAGAGATGTTTTTTTAATAAGTGTCTTTATATATTTATTGTTGTAATTGTTGTATGCTGCCCAGTGTTCCTTCGTGTGAGATATTTTGTGTGAGAAATTTGATAAACAAATGAATTCATGTCTTCTCAGTGGCTTGTTTTGCATCGTAATCAAGACACCATTTTGTTCTCTCGGTTCATAGCTGTGTATGTGTAGCAGAAGCTGTATCTTCTCAAGTTACGGAACTACAGCAACAATGCATAATTTCCTTAAATGCTTATGTTATACAGGGTTTCTTTTCAGGTTTTTCCCCCACAGCCTGTAGTTCGATCCTGACAGGAGGAGCTCAAGGTTGACTCAGTCTTCCATCCTTCCTGGGATCTTAAAATAAGGAGCCAGATTATTGGGGCCAATATGCTGACAATGTAAACCTCCCAGAGAGTGCTGTAAAGCAGTATATAAATGCTATTGCTATTTCACAAGCAGTAATTGCAAGGGGAATCTTTTGTGACAGTCTGTTATCTCAACAGGTTTGAACTTCCAGTCGCATCATTTGAGAATAACCAGGATATGAAGCTATTGTAGTACACTCCAGTAATAAAATGGGAGTACAATTAACTCTTCTTCCTAAATTTATTTTAGAAAGTTCATCCAAATGTACTGCAATTCTCCCTGCTCTTTCACCTCCTACCTGCAGACAGGCAGCTGTAGAAGGGGGGAAAAAGAAAAGCAACGGGTTCAATTATGTTTTTATTCTTTGAGAGCAATGGCTGTTCCAGAGAAGAGTGGTTAGCAGTGGGAGTCTTACCTTACATAAGAAAACAGGGCCAGGCAGCAGCAGGGTGGGGGGGTGGGGGGTGGAGAACTGTTTAGCAATGAAAACCTGGATGGGCTGTCAGAACCAAAAGTGTCTACTGCAGCTGATATGTAGAGCAGCTCTAAGACATTTCATCATTTGCAAACCACAAGATGCAAAGATAAACTGGCAAGGCAAATCTGGAAGCCTAGACTGATTTACTGCCTAACACATGATCCCTGACATGATTTACCCACTTATTCAAGCCCCCTTTCCCAGTAACGAATATGCCTGACTGATCTTACCTCATCACAGGCTGCACATCGAGGTTTGAGGCATTCTGCATGGTGCCGGCCACAATAAATCTTCCCTTCTTGATAGAAATAGATAAGATCCACCAACAGCTCATTGCAAACGCTACATATAAAGCATGATGGATGCCAGCACACCCCATGGCCTGCTCTGGATGCAAAGACGGCTATGTCGCCTCCATTGATTTGGCCTCCACACTGTTAAGATAAATATAAAAATTAAAGAGGGCCTTTCTCTGACAATTCTTCCAGGCGAGAAACACTGAATAATGACAGCATCCGAAAAAAGCTGAATTGAAGCACTGATAAAAAATCAGCAAATTTCTCTTCTAGTTATTCACAAGTCAAGCCTCTCTCCAATTACAGTATTATAGGGATTGTGGTGGTACAAAAGCAATTGTGACAGACTGCAGAAGGTCTTTCCAGCTCCCATCTACTATGAAATGATTAATGCTTATTCACTCCTCAACCTGTTCCTATATGGGTACAGTTCAAAGTAAGCAAACAGGAGTAAGAATGGTAGATTCTGACTCCATTCTGCTATTCTTCCCTTAGAGAGGATGTTGGGACAGGTTTCCTTTGATCTAACACAAAAATCAAGAAAATTGAGAGTTGTCTACCATATTTCCATGGAGATTCTCAATCATCCAGATCATGATCGTCCCAAAGGTGCTATTCTAAAAGACAACTGGACTGTCTTGTTTTTTTTTTTCCTTTTAAAATTTTCGCTTCTCATCCAAGAACTGAAGAAGTTTCTTGGATGAGAAGTGAAATGTTTTCAAAAGAAAAAAATATCAAGAAAGTCTATTTGCCTTTTGGAAATAGCACCTTTTGGTCTAGCATATTTGCCTCCCCCCAAAAAGTGGAGAAGTAGGAGAATTATGTTCCATTCTCATAGAATTGACACCATGTGATTAACTGGTTGCTTTCTGGATTTGCCTGGAAAATTGAATTAACCAAATCGACCAGGTTCACATAATGTGCTAACTCTAAAATAAAATAATAAAAATAATCTAAGGTTAAAACAAACTAGTGACCTGGTTAATAGGGTTGTGTGAATCCAGCCTCTAACTGATTTAGGTTAGAGACTTCTACATGTGGCGAATAAATAAAACCACAGTACTTTCAATCTCAGATTGTGGGTTGAACTTTTAACATTAAATATTTACATCTTGGAAACAGAAGGTACTAGAAGGCATGAAGCGCTGTAATTTATTCAATTCTTGACGGGTGGTATGAATGGCCTCCAGAGAAAAACCTCTGATATCTTTCTCACTGCACATTTACTGAGACGATAGCTTGGAAATACTTAGCAATTTAAACTGTGGTATCCACTCTAGGGATCATTGCACATATTTGATTAATATTTTTCTCACAGATTGGGAATTGGAAACTTATGTATTGAAAGTAAGATTTGGAATGATCTTATTACATGGTTTTTTACCACGCTGCTGCTAAATATAAACATGTTAATCAGATCTGAAACGCAAACTGTCAACACTCAGTGTTGCAATTTGTAATGCAAAAATGTGGAAAACAGTATCCTGCACTCCCAATTTTGTTTCAGGGTTCCTCTACAAAGTCTGTTTGGTTTCCATAGGATACCTAAAACACTCCTCTGCATATGCTGATGCATAATGCTACGTGTAATAGTCTTTCTCAAATTGATGTACACGTTCCTTTTCTCCTTTGCCTTCCAAATGGTTTTCTGGCCTAGCAATGCACCCCCTAAGCAACCTTTTCCCTGGGGATTATGCAAGAGAAACTGTTTTTGCAGCTGGCTATTAGCAGCCTTAAACTAACACTCTGCCACACACCTCTAATTTTCCTACCCCTGGGGATATTTTTAATGAGTAAGAATTTTTTGCAAGGTTAAAGTGAAGAGTAAGTCTTTTGCTGCCATAATGTATTGCTATGGCTTTTCATATCTCACAGTGCATAGCCGCTTTGATGTCATGGTAGTAGTAGAAGGGGGAGGAGGAAGAGGAAGAAGAGGAAGTAGAGGAGGAGGGAAAGGAGAAGAAGAAGAAGAAGAAGAAGAAGAAGAAGAAGTAGTAGTAGTAGTAGTAGTAGTAGTAGTAGTAGTAGTAGTAGTAGTAGTAGTAGTAGTAGTAGTAGTAGTAATTCTACCTGTTCGCAAATGGCTCCTGTCATGGTGACGGGGAATGGCCGGACATTGCCTCTGCCCAAGTTCTCTCTCTTCCTCTGGTTGCTGAAAAGTTTGAGTTCTCTCTTTTCCTCTTCATCCAGGGAGTTACAGTATCGAACCTAGACATCAAGCAGCAATCATTTTTTTTTTCATTAAAAGCAGTGGTTCTTACTTTTTCTCTCAAAAGTGCAAGATTATTTTTTTTTAATCAGGATTAGATCATATCTGAGGGTCATAACAACATCTGACATTGTGGGAACATAGGTGATAGACATGAACACAAAATTACTACTGTGAGATACTTACCTATTCTTAAAATGATTACCATGGTGGGGAAGACCAGCTACAAAATGGTCATTTTTCACAAGTTATTCACTCCCCCTCCCAGCAAACTCCCTACGATACTTGTTGTAACTGCCTTGTCATATACCTTTCTTGGGTTATTACAAAATTATTTCACTGCCTATTATATAATGGCCCACTTATCAGAACTTTATCCTTGTCTCTGGCAACAACAGAACTTTACTCCTTAATGTGAAAAAATATCTCTATTGCTATGAAATTATATGCATGTATGTAGCTGATCAAAATATTTGATGAAAGTTTTCGAAGTTGTGTGTGTGTGTGTGTGTGTGTGTGTGTGTGTATCTGTGAAAAGAGTAGACTCATGACTGATGTTAGTAATGATATTAAGGCCTTTGGCTAATGAATCATCAAAAACATGCTAAGGCAAGTGTTAGACTGACACAAAAAGCAACACCCCAGGGAGCAAAGTGTAGCTATAGCTTAAGGACACATTCTAGTAACTGAATGGAGCCCCATCACTTTTGGTGGGAACTCCTTGGATGGCAGTTAACTTTATGACCACATCCAAATATATCTCTGGCATCTTCTCAAGAACTCCTAATGAAAAAGGCTTTCTGTAGCTTGGCAAGCTGAATCTGCTCTACTGAAAAAATGAGAACGTTGGGAGATACGTGCTGAAAACACTGCAGAAGTCCAATGGAAATATTTCAGAATAGGGTAACAGGAACAAAGCCCCTTTTATAAGAGAGAGAAAGAGAAGTGTAACTCTTTGATACTGTACTAAGGAGGAAGGTGGAGGGGAAATGCAGAAAGGTTTTAACAATAACCACAACAGTAAAGAAATTGTTTAAATGCAAACCTGATGTGATAGGGAGTGGTTGAACAAATCCTGGTAACATTCTGAACCATTGATTCATTAAACAAAACATACTGATTTACAACAAAACTTAAAACCTCAAATCCTTCTTATAACCAGTACTTAAAATTAATAATTTAAAGCATGTAGGACTTGTTCGAAAGTAATCAGAGAGGTTCAATCTCTTAATTCACCAGCAAATGTCTTCCAAAGAACTGTGGTGGCTACCAGAGAAGGCTCTTCTCAAAAAAATAAAATAAAAAATGCAGTTATTAGCTTGTGGCAAGCACAGGCAAACCCTTAGGTTGATCTCAATTAGCAGGAGGGTCATATAGAAAGAGAGATTCTCTTAAGTAGACTGATCTCAAGAAGAATTCAAAAATAAATCAGATACTGAAATTTAAATGGCATTACACATATTATAGTATCAGACAGGAGTTGAATATAATTATCCCTCAGGGCAGCACGTAACTATCCGTATCTCTCAGGTGGGTCCTCAGCTTAATTTCAAATGCCAGAGATCCTCTCAAGTTTCTAATAAGAGAACTCCATCCTTTTGCTACACCTATGAATTTGAGAGAGAAAAAAGGATCAGAAACAGAGTGAGGAAGGAAGAAAGTGTCCAGAGTTTGCACTGCTTCCGCATCTCCTCATGTACTGGTTTGCTTCAGTTCTGCCCACCACCCCACCCAACCATTTACTTCTGAATAGATGTACATTTGATGGGGGGGGGGAAGGGCTTAACATCCCTCAGTCAATTTGTCTAGAAGTCTTGTAAAGCTACCTTTAAGAAACACTGGCTTTTATCTACCCTGAATATGTTCCACTGAATGATCCCAAGAGTCCTGGCAGTCTGAGAGAGACGAGAAAGCTTTTCTCTACAAAGCTTCTCTATGGTGGTTTTCTTAGTCCGTTTGTCTTGAAAGTTAACTGTCGGAGGGGCAGTTTTTTTTTTTTTAACTTTACAAGGTATCTATGCTGCCTCCATTGTAAGGCTTGGATAGCTTGCAAAATAAGAACAAAACAATGCAATCAATAGTAAAAGACTAAAAATTGTATATTTTATATAAAAATGTTTTACATACATACACACACTATACAATCATATTGTACATACATACATACATACATACATACATACATACATAACTGATAGAACATAGCAGCAACAGCCTCGTGAATTTTTTGGGGGGAGGGGAGTCACAACCCCTTTAGTTGTACCAGGTTTTTCCTGGTGCCTCATCCTGCATACGTGTGAAGGATAGGTAGGTAAATAGGTGGGTGGGTGGGTAGGTAGATAGACAGATAGAGATAGACAGACAGACATTGATATATATTTAAAAATATGGCACATTTATTTCTTTCCAAATGTGTGTAGAGAAGAACAGGCAAGGTTTAGAGCAGGATACTCAATGACTGATCATGGTTTTGTTTTGGATCATCTGATAAATAAGTATGCAAAACATGCTGACAGGAAATTGTATGTTGCCTTTGGGGACTCTCTTGCAGCTTTTGATTTTATTGGTAGAAAGAAACCATGGGTTAAACTAGATCAGTTGAATTTGAATAGAAGGTTGTTAATTTTGATCATGGCTTTATATAAGAACATTCAAATTCAGGATAGGTTCACCCTAGCAGGCCACCAAGCAAGTATGCTTGCACCTTTACTATTTAATCTATTTATTAATGATATTGTTCCAGCCCAGAGTGTAGAAAATAATTTCCCAGTAAAGGAAGAAAATAGGAACTCCTCCGTATTACTTTATGGAGATGATGTATTGCTTACCTCAGATAGGCTTGACAGATAGTTAAGAGCTTTGATTAGTTCTTAAATTACCTAACTGTGAATATGGAGAAATGAAAAGTGCTGGCATATGAGCAGAAAAAAAAAGACACAAATGGAGAAGTGGGAAACATCTCTTACAAATGGGTATTTTTCTGAGTGCTTCAGATAGTTGTACTCTCATTGTCTCACTCCAAAAAGAAAAACTGAGAAAAACTATTTGTCAGAAATAATAAGATTCTGGTGTACAAATGATGGTCGACAAATTTCTGCCATCCTAACTTTTCTAAAAACCAAGTTAGCTTCTTATTTTTCATATGCAGTAGATTAGAGGGAACTTCTATTCTTTCTGATATGGAATTCTTTCAAAATAAGTTCCCCGTACCTACAATAAAGAAGATGGTCGAAGACAGGAAGGCCTGGAGGAACATTGTTGCGATGGGGTTGTGATGGGTCGGACAGGACTTCACAAATAACAACAACTACTACTACAATAATCGTTGACTTACAACCATCCATTTAGTCACCATTTAAAATTACAAAAAAATGACTTACGACTGTTTTTCACACTTATGACTGTTGTACCATCCCCATGGTCATCTGACCAAAATTTAGATGCTTGGCAAATGGCATGTATCTATGATGGATGCAGTGTCCCAAGGTCATGTGTTCACCATTTGTGACCTTCTGACAAGATCAATGGGGAAGCCACATTCACTTAACAACCACCTTACTAACTTGACAGCTGAGTGATTCACTTAACAACTGTGGCAAGAAGGATCATAAAATGGGTCTTAAAACTCGCTTAATAATTGTCTTTCTTAGCAATGGAAATTTTGGGCTCAACTGTGATTGTTAAGACAAGGACTGCTGTATTTTAGGTGTATCTAATAGTACTCCTATCCCATGCTGGTTCAGGAATTCTGGGAGTTGAAGTCCATGAGTCATAAAAGAGCCAAGGTTGCCTACCCCTGTCCTAGCTCTTTTCTCTATATAGAAACTAGTACATACCTAATTGAAGCTAAAATAATTATAAGGGCATTTAATTATTAGGCTCTAGATTCCTCTTAGTATCTGATCCCTTACTTTTCAGATGGTGTCTCTAAAGCAAATGAATTTCTCCACTCCTTCTTGCACCAGTTGGCTTACATTTTTATCCAATCTTTGCATACCTTTAGTTTTTTTCCAGAATTCAAACAATGCAAACATTGACCTATTATTTAAAAACAGGGTATTGAATGTGTTTAAAAGGATCACAAAATAATATTGCCCCTCGATACACACTTAATAAAACCAAAATCTGGGAATGCTGTCCCTCTGAGAGGCACTTACAAGACTACAATTCCAGCGAAGGGCATCAGCAACTAGAGAGGGCATTATGTCTCCATTTTGCACATAATAGGTGCTTTTTCTCTTGTTCTGAGGAGATTATAGAAGAGTCTACCCATTATTGATTGTACTGTCCTATTTCCGCTTCAGGAAAATTTCTGAACCTCCTCTTGGTATGAAAATCATGTTGGCCTGATTCATCATGTGAAATTGAATATCTAATGAATTTAGACAAGGAGACACTGCCATGGAGATTAGCAAGCTTTGCATGGGCTGCTGCTAAACAGGGTTAGCCACTGTTCCAGAGCTTTGGGCCTGCTTTAGCATCTCTCTCCAAAGAGCACTTGGAACACAACAGCTGCTCAACAGCCCTTAGCCGCCAAGGGAAGTCATGGTTCCTGTTCCTTCAGTCAACACTTCTTTGTAATCCTCTGTTAATCTTAAATCCTAAACAAGGTTAACATCCTTGAAAGATTTTGCTTCAGGATAATATTAATGTATTTTGGTCCCTTTCCCACTCTTTGCAAGCACAAAATCAAAATAGTTATGGCTAATACAGCCAAAGCCACATCATACTAATATATAATATATTTCCTAAATACATCTATTTAGAATAAGTTTGCATTAACTCCAGTGGATTTCTCCCAGGTCATTTTGAAGCTCAGAAGAAAAACTATATTTGAAGACTATTTGGATAAGAAGTTAATTCATTCTAGTCCCCAATTTATAATTTTGTAAAACATATTTTTGCAAAAGTGAGTAAATAAGTATTTTGGTTCTCTAGCTCAGATTTGCTTGAGCTTAGGTTTACGTTCCAAATGAATAATTTCCCTACATTTTTTCTT